CCCCCCCCCCCCCTCCTTAGTGCTCTTGATCCTAATAACAATAACAACAACAACATGCATGATTTAAGTAAGCATATGAACTTCTCCTTGGCCTATGAGGAATGAAATAACAAATGTCTATCCTTAATACCAAGGCCACCCTCCTTTTTAGCTCTGATAACTATCTACCTCCCTTTAGAATTATTCTCTTTCTTGCAAAGGAGATTTTTAATAGTTTTCACAATAGAATATGTAACTTTATGGATAGCCAACCATATAATAAGAGAATACCCACACCAGTAACTTCAATAAATAAGAAAGTAAAGTATCACGAGATAAATGGGTCTCCTTGCCTAATATCATGGTAAATGGAATGCTCCCACTCTCATTGATGTAACATATCAAAATATGAGAGAAAATACAGTAATATACCCAATCAATTATCTTTTGAGAAAAATATAGAAGCTTCATCATGTTATAAATAGAGGTTCAAGACAACCGATCATAAGTCTTCTCTAAGTCTATTTTCATCATGATATATGAATTTTTACCATGAGATCGAAATAAACAAGGGTTAATCTCTTAAGCTACTAAAATATTGTTACACATGTTGTGACCCGGAAGACTATTTCGAGGATATAATCTTATGAAATATAGGCTTTAATTTTATTAGCAAGTGGCTTAGTAAAAATTATATAGATGACATCGCACAAAGAAATATGTCCAAAATCATTGATCTGAGAAGGGGTCTCACACTTAGGAATGAAAGGTTCTAGGCCAAAATACTCATGCAAAAAGGTTAAAGTATGAAAATAGTTAAAAGTCTTAAAAGATATATAATATTTCAAAAGTGAAATGAATTTGTTTCTAATTTTCAATAGGGAAGTTATTAATAAAGATCTTAGAAATAAGATTTCCTCTATGCCTTAAGGTAATCAAACTATGGTAATACTTGAAGTTTCTATCTCCTTTATATAATCACTTAGTTTTAGCTCGCACTTAATCTACCTAAGTAGGGTCTGAAGGTGATTGTTGATAGAAAGGAGTGCAACTTCCTTCACATTAGAAAGAGGGTCAAGAAAAGCTCTAGTTTCAAGATCAGTAATTTTGTTCTTCATCTTATTAAACAAATCTTCAATATTTCTTAAGGGTCTAAAAAGAACTAACCTATGACTACTTAAAATAATGAAGATGTCTTGCATACCCGAATTATGGCTAAGAGATTATCTACACTTACTATCAATAATATATTTAGCCTCCTTATAATCAATACAGAAGCTATGAAATTTAAATATATTCATTTTAGGATTGAGGGAAGACATAGGGCAAGGTGTTCAATAATGGATATACAAAATAATGTAATCATTGATATTGGTAAAAGACTTATCTAATCTTGCTAAACCTCTTCGATTAATAGACCACACAAAAGGTTGATCAGAAAAATCAAGATCAAATAAACCGACATTATTAATAAGTTATTGAAAACACCTAACAAAATTATTGATAGAAAACATGGAACTGTCTATTTTATCCTCTTTGTTTAGAATATAATTAAAATCCCTTATGATACACTAAGGAATATTAAAAAAATTAATGAGACTGTATCATGAAAAAAATATTCAGATACCAACGTAATTACTTAAATAAATATTAGAAAGCAACATCTTATGAATTTAATTATATTCTATGCACTATCACATATATATGCATTATAAGTGGGAGGATATCACTTGGATCTTAGTAGACTAATGATTTCACACCGAGAGAAAACTTTCAAAAAAAACCCCCCATCATCTTATGACATGCACCATTGATGTCGCATTATCTTTTATTATATGTGTTTCTTGCAAAAGCATAACGTGAGGTTTGTATTTATGGAGGAGAAAAGACGGATTCTTTTTCACTATTCTCCTCTTTAGACCATAATAGTTCTATCTAATAAAACTCATAACTAAAAAGAAAAAGAGTCATGAGCTCCTCATTGCAAAGATCCTATTGATGATTTATTTTGCTATAGAGTCTTAAAGCACTAGCCACAACCTTTAACTTAGGAGTTAGGGGCATTCATTAATTTTTTTATCTTTGATATCCACTTAGGAAGTGGGGTGTGGTGGGATGAAGGTCTTTATCCTCGTGGCCACTCTTTAGAGGGGATCTCGTTTGCTCCTCTTTAATTGCAAGCAAGGCCAATTCCACCATCGTCACTAAGGCATCGAATATTTTAGGGATATCATCGAGGGACGTTTCGATAGCATCACCCACATCTTAGGTGGCAAGGGGAATCAAAGCCTTTTCAATATATGTGATTGCCATCCAGCGTCAATTCACATCCTCATATCGTCTTAGATTAGATCTGATTGATCCATTAACGATTAGACCAAGTTCAATCCAAGCTTTGTCATTGAGCGCTTCATCACTAAGGTAACCTTATTAGTGTAAAATCAGTAATTATGCTATCTGTAATGCAGAAAAATTTTTATGCTAAGATTGAAATCAAATAAATTTGAATTTAACAATATTACGACGTACCTTTTATTGTTGTTCAGAAGAATAAACCTTATCTGATCTATAGATGCACCATAGTTGAATCTGAGATATCAATCTACAAGGAGAACTGGACATTCCTTCTTCTCTCTTCCTATCTTTTCACAGGACTACGTTGAGAGAAAAATCTTAATCTCTCAACTACGTTGAGATGCATCTTATTTAGCCCCTAGAGATCCTATCTATTTATAGGCGAGAGTATAGGGTCTAGGATACGTTGTTAGAAGAGTTTCTCCTATCAAAGGCATCCCCTAAGGAATCCTATTATAACATGAACTATATAAATAGAGATGTAACTATTTCTTTTCGAAAAGCAAAGAAATATTATTCAGTCTTTTGACAAACCCTAGGAGGCTGATCCCCTCGAAGTGATCAAGGAGGTCAATTCCCTCGAAGTGATCATCCTCTTTTCTCCCCTTTCGTCCATAATAAAACCCTAGGGTCTTATCATTTGGTATAAGAGCAACGATCCTCGGTGTTCTTGCTGTAGTTAACATCGTCTCAACAAAAAAAAAAGAGGGAAAATCTGCAGCCATGCACCCCTGCTTCCCCTCTCCACTACCACCACCGCTGGTCGAAAGGGCCCCTGCTTCCCCTGTTTCCAACCATCCTCACCATCATCGTCGCTCTCCGGCCAGCGACTACCACCCCCCCCAGACTCCCCCCCTTCTATTGTGCTGCAGCCGCTCATGCCTTATCCCGCTCGAGTG